TGTAGCCACCAAGGTGTGGGTGAACCACACCTTCCCGTGTCATGTGTTTATTCCCCATAGCACCCCTACATATGGGTAGTGTTAGTCGATGGGTAATGTTAGTCTATGGGTAATGTTAGTCTATGGGTAATGTTAGTCTATGGGTAATGTTAGTCTATGGGTAGTGTTAGTCTATGGGTAATGTTAGTCTATGGGTAGTGTTAGTCTATGGGCAATGTTAGTCTATGGGTAATGTTAGTCTATGGGTAATGTTAGTCTATGGGTAGTGTTAGTCTATGGGTAATGTTAGTCTATGGGCAATGTTAGTCTATGGGTAGTGTTAGTCTATAGGCAATGTTAGTCGATGGGTAATGTGAGTCTATTTCCAATGTTAGTCTATGGGCAATGTTAGTCTATGGGTAATCTTAGTCTATGGGAAATGATAGTCTATGGGTAATGTTAGTCTATGGGCAATGTTAGTCTATGGAAAATGTTAGTCTATGGGCAATGTTAGTCTATGGGCAATGTTAGTCTATGGAAAATGTTAGTCTATGGGTAGTGTTAGTCTATGGGCAATGTCAGTCTATGGGCAATGTTAGTCTATGGGTAGTGTTAGTCGATGGGTAATGTTAGTCTATGGGTAATGTTAGTCTATGGGTAGTGTTAGACTATGGGTAATTTCGATTTAAAGCTTTCGTGACTGCAAGGATTCATCTTCTTTGGTTCTTTCGGTAAAGTCACGTAGAATGAGAATAAAATAATAAATTGATAAAATAAAATAACACAATAATATTCTCACGACGTTTCGGCCACAACACAAGCGGCCTTCATCAGGTGAAGGGACGAGACTGTCTGGTAGGCCAGCGCTGTTAGTCTATGGGTAATGTTAGTCTATGGGTAATGTGAGTCTATGGGTAATGTTAGTCTATGGGTAATGTTAGTCTATGGGCAATGTTAGTCTATGGGTAGTGTTAGTCTATGGGCATTGTTAGTCTATGGGTAATGTGAGTCTATGGGTAATGTTAGTCTATGGGTAATGTTAGTCTATGAGCAATGTTAGTCTATGGGTAGTGTTAGTCTATGGGCAATGTTAGTCTATGGGCAATGTTAGTCTATGGGTAATGTTAGTCTATGGGTAATGTTAGTCTATGGGTAGTGTTAGTCTATGGGCAATGTTAGTCTATGGGCAATGTTAGTCTATGGGTAATGTTAGTCCATGGGTAATGTTAGTCTATGGGTAGTGTTAGTCTATGGGTAATGTTAGTCTATGGGCAATGTTAGTCTATGGGTAGTGTTAGTCTATAGGCAATGTTAGTCGATGGGTAATGTGAGTCTATTTCCAAAGTTAGTCTATGGGCAATGTTAGTCTATGGGTAATGTTAGTCTATGGGAAATGATAGTCTATGGGTAATGTTAGTCTATGGGCAATGTTAGTCTATGGAAAATGTTAGTCTATGGGCAATGTTAGCCTATGGGCAATGTTAGTCTATGGGAAATGTTAGTCTATGGGTAGTGTTAGTCTATGGGCAATGTCAGTCTATGGGCAATGTTAGTCTATGGGTAGTGTTAGTCGATGGGTAATGTTAGTCTATGGGTAATGTTAGTCTATGGGTAATGTTAGTCTATGGGTAATGTTAGTCTATGGGTAGTGTTAGTCTATGGGTAATGTTAGTCTATGGGTAGTGTTAGTCTATGGGCAATGTTAGTCTATGGGTAATGTTAGTCTATGGGTAATGTTAGTCTATGGGTAGTGTTAGTCTATGGGTAATGTTAGTCTATGGGCAATGTTAGTCTATGGGTAGTGTTAGTCTATAGGCAATGTTAGTCGATGGGTAATGTGAGTCTATTTCCAATGTTAGTCTATGGGCAATGTTAGTCTATGGGTAATCTTAGTCTATGGGAAATGATAGTCTATGGGTAATGTTAGTCTATGGGCAATGTTAGTCTATGGAAAATGTTAGTCTATGGGCAATGTTAGTCTATGGGCAATGTTAGTCTATGGAAAATGTTAGTCTATGGGTAGTGTTAGTCTATGGGCAATGTCAGTCTATGGGCAATGTTAGTCTATGGGTAGTGTTAGTCGATGGGTAATGTTAGTCTATGGGTAATGTTAGTCTATGGGTAGTGTTAGACTATGGGTAATTTCGATTTAAAGCTTTCGTGACTGCAAGGATTCATCTTCTTTGGTTCTTTCGGTAAAGTCACGTAGAATGAGAATAAAATAATAAATTGATAAAATAAAATAACACAATAATATTCTCACGACGTTTCGGCCACAACACAAGCGGCCTTCATCAGGTGAAGGGACGAGACTGTCTGGTAGGCCAGCGCTGTTAGTCTATGGGTAATGTTAGTCTATGGGTAATGTTAGTCTATGGGCAATGTTAGTCTATGGGTAATGTTAGTCTATGGGCAATGTTAGTCTATGGGTAGTTTTAGTCTATGGGCAATGTTAGTCTATGGGTAGTGTTAGTCTATGGGCAATGTTAGTCTATGGGCAATGCTAGTCTATGGGCAATGTTAGTCTATGGGTAGTGTTAGTCTATGGGCAATGTTAGTCTATGGGTAGTGTTAGTCTATGGGCAATGTTAGTCTATGGGTAGTGTTAGTCTATGGGCAATGTTAGTCTATGGGCAATGTTAGTCTATGGGTAATGTTAGTCTATGGGCAATGTTAGTCTATGGGTAGTTTTAGTCTATGGGCAATGTTAGTCTATGGGTAGTGTTAGTCTATGGGTAATGTTAGTCTATGGGCAATGTTAGTCTATGGGCAATGTTAGTCTATGGGCAATGTTAGTCTATGGGTAGTGTTAGTCTATGGGTAGTGTTAGTCTATGGGCAATGTTAGTCTATGGGTAGTGTTAGTCTATGGGTAGTGTTAGTCTATGGGCAATGTTAGTCTATGGGTAGTGTTAGTCTATGGGTAGTGTTAGTCTATGGGCAATGTTAGTCTATGGGCAATGTTAGTCTATGGGCTATGTTAGTCTATGGGTAGTGTTAGTCTATGGGTAATGTTAGTCTATGGGCAATGTTAGTCTATGGGTAATGTTAGTCTATGGGTAATGTTAGTCTATGGGTAGTGTTAGTCTATGGGTAGTGTTAGTCTATGGGCAATGTTAGTCTATGGGCAATGTTAGTCTATGGGTAGTGTTAGTCTATGGGTAGTGTTAGTCTATGGGCAGTGTTAGTCTATGGGTAATGTTAGTCTATGGGTAATGTTAGTATATGGGCAATGTTAGTCTATGGGCAATGTTAGTCTGTGGGTAATGTTAGTCTATGGGTAATGTTAGTCTATGGGCAATGTTAGTCTATGGGCAATGTTAGTCTATGGGCAATGTTAGTCTTTTGGTAGTTTTAGTCTATGGGCAATGTTAGTCTATGGGCAATGTTAGTCTATGGGTAGTGTTAGTCTATGGGCAATGCCAGTCTATGGGCAATGTTAGTCTATGGGTAATGTTAGTCTATGGGTAATGTTAGTCTATGGGTAATGTTAGTCTATGGGCAATGTTAGTCTATGGGTAATGTTAGTCTATGGGTAATGTTAGTCTATGGGTAATGTTAGTCTATGGGCAATGTTAGTCTATGGGCAATGCCAGTCTAGACACTGCCCGTGATGGACACTGCCCCCTGGTGGACACTGCTCATGGTGGACACTGCTGGTGGTGGACACTGCCCCCTGGTGGACAGTGGTGATGGTGGACACTGCTGTTGGTGGACACTGCTGATGGTGGACACTGCTGGTACTGACCGTCCCTCCCCTGGTGCTGATGTGGGAGGCGCCGCTGCTGCCGCTGCTGCTGCTGAGTGAATGAGCAGAGGGAGACGTGGGGGGGGAGGAGGGAGAGAGGAGGGGGAAAGGAGGAGGGGGGTAGGGGAGGAGAGAGGGGGGTAGGGGAGGGGGGTAGGGGAGGAGGGAGGGGGGTAGGGGAGGGGGATAGGGGAGGAGGGAGGGGGTAGGGGAGGAGGGAAGGGAGGGAGGGTAGGAGGGAGGGGAGGGAGGGGAGGAGGGAGGGGAGGGGAGGAGGGAGGGGAGGGAGGGGAGGAGGGAAGGGAGGGAGGGGAGGAGGGAGGGGAGGGGAGGAGGGAGGGGAGGGAGGGGAGGAGAGAGGAGGAGGGAGGGAGAGTGGGAGGGAGGGAGGGTGGGAGGGAGGAGAGGAGGGAGGAGGGAGGGGGGGAGGAGGGAGGGGTGGGAGGGAGGAGAGGAGGAGAGGGGAGGGAGGGAGGGGTGGAAGGGAGGGGAGGGAGGATGCGTGATAGGGGATGGGGGTGTGGGCCGGGTTGATGCAGGGGGAGGAGGAGGGGGGGAGGAGGAGGAGGAGGGGGGGAGGAGGAGGAGGAGGGGGGGAGGAGGGGGAGAGGTGGAGGGGGGGAGGTGGAGGGGGGGAGGTGGAGGGGGGGAGGTGGAGGGGGGGAGGTGGAGAGGGGGAGGTGGAGAGGGAGGAGCAGGAGGGGGAGGAGGAGCAGGAGGAGGGGCAGGAGGAGGGGGGGAGGAGGCTGCCGTGTTGATGGCACGGCGTTTTGCGCCGTGCAGCGAGCGAGCGAGCAGGGGGAGGTGATGGTGGTGGACGTGGTGATGGTGGTGGTGGCGGTGATGTTGTTGTTGCGCAAGAGCTCACTCCCATTCATAGCGCCTCGTCGCCTGTGTCTCGGGCGTTAGGGAGACACGCGGGGAGACAGAGAGACAGAGAGAGACACGGAGACAGAGAGACACACGCGGGGAGACAGAGAGAGACACGGAGACAGAGAGAGACACGCGGGGGACAGAGACACGGAGACGGAGAGAGACACGCGGGGAGACAGAGAGAGACACGGAGACAGAGAGAGACACGCGGGGAGACAGAGAGAGACACGCGGTGGAGACAGAGAGACACGGAGACAGAGATAGAGAGAGACACGCGGAGAGACAGAGAGAGACACGGAGACAGAGAGAGACACGCGGGGAGACAGAGAGACACGGAGACAGAGAGAGAGAGACACGCGCGGGAGACACGCGGAGACAGACAGAGAGAGACACGCGGGGGGACAGAGAGAGAGAGACACACACAGACAGTCAAAGACACGGAGACAGAGAGACGCGGGGAGACAGAGAGAGACACGCGGAGACAGAGACACGGAGACAGAGAGAGAGAGACACGGAGATGAGACACGGAGGGTCCGCGGAGCGACACGGAGACGCAGGGACACAGAGAGACGCAGGGAGACAGACGCTGGTATACACACAGAGACACGCAGAGACGTAGTGACTGGGGCAGAGACACGGAGATTGACTGACAGACACCCATCATCAACATCACCGCCATCCCTATCACTACCATCACGAACAACACCATCAATATCACTACCATCACTACCAGCATCATCAATATCACGACCAACACCGCTACCAACATCATCAATATCACTACCACCATCACTACCAGCACCATCAATATCACTACCATCACCGCTACCAGCACCATCAATATCACTACCATCACGAACAACACCATCAATATCACTACCATCACTACCAGCACCATCAATATCACTACCATCATCACTACCAGCACCATCAACATCACTACCACCATCACTACCAGCACCATCAATATCACTACCATCACCGCTACCATCAATATCACTACCACCATCACTACCAGCACCATCAATATCACTACCATTACCGCTACCAGCACCATCAATATCACTACCAGCACCATCAATATCACTACCATTATCACTACCAGCACCATCAATATCACTACCATCATCACTACCAGCACCATCAACATCACTACCACCATCACTACCAGCACCATCAATATCACTACCATCACCGCTACCATCAATATCACTACCATCATCACTACCAGCACCATCAATATCACTACCATCACCGCGACCAGCACCATCAATATCACTACCATTATCACTACCAGCACCATCAACATCGCTACCGCCATCACTACCAGCATTATCAACATCGCTACCATCATCACTACCAGCACCATCAACATCGCTACCATCACCATCACTACGATCATCACTACCATCACCGCTACCAGCACCATCAATATCACTACCATCATCACTACCAGCACCATCAACATCGCTACCATCAACATCACCACCACCACCATCATCAACAACGCCACAATAAATACACCCATCAACGCCAACACCAACACCAACACACCATCCCCACCACACCAGCCACTGAAAACCACCACACCACTACAGCAACCACACCAATCCCACCACACCACTGCATCAACCATTCAAAAGCACCACCACGCCACCACAACCACCACAACAAAGACAAAGATCCCCCGTATTGCCTTTAACAGACTGCTGTGACCACTACCACCACCACTACTACCACCACCACTACCACCACACCACCACTACCACACCCCCACCACTACTACCACCCCCACCACTAACACCACACCACAACCACTAACACCACACCACCAGTACCACACCACCACTAACACCACATCACTACCACCACCACTAACACCACACCACCACTACCACCACCACACCACCACTACCACCATCACACCACTACCACCACCACCACACCACCACTACCACCCCCAACATTAACACCACACCACTACCACACCACTACCACACCACCACTAACACCACCACACCACTACCACACCACCACTAACACCACCACACCACCACTAACACCACCACACCACTAACACCACCACACCACTACCACACCACCACCACTACCACCACCACCACACCACCACTACACCACCACTACCACCACCACACCACCACTACACCACTACCACCACTACTACACCACACCACCACTACACCACCACTACACCACTACCACCACTACCACTACCACACAACCACCACTACCACACTACCACCACTACCACCACTACCACACCACCACCACTACCACCACTACCACACCACCACCACCACCACACCACCACTACCACACCACTACACCACCACCACCACCACTACCACACCACCACCACTACCACACCACCACTACACTACCACTACACCACCACTACCACTACACTACCACACCACCACCACTACCACCACTACCACACCACCACCACTACCACACCACTACCACCACTACCACCACCATCACTACCACACCACCACCACCACTACTACCACACCACCACCACTACCACCACCACTACACCACCACTACCACACCACCACCACACCACTACCACCACCACCACCACCACTACACTACCACACCACTACCACCACCACCACACCACCACACCACTACCACCACCACCACCGCCACTACACTACCACACCACTACCACCACCACCACCACACCACCACACCACCACACCACTACCACCACCACCACCACCACTACACTACCACACCACTACCACCACCACCACACCACCACCAGTACACTACCACACCACCACTACCACTACACCACCACCACCACTACCACACCAACACCACCACCACCACCACACTCGCGCTCCTCATGTCCTGGCCTCTGCTGTCACGGGCTTGCTGCCTGGCCAGGGCCCAGCAGAGCCCACAGCCTCACTCGGGGCTGGCTCGCCTTGGGGTGACTCACCCTGGGCTGACTCACCCTGGGCTGACTCACTATGGGCTGACTCACCCGGGGGTGACGGCGGTGGTGGTGCAGCAGCCGCCCGCGACCAGCAGGGAGGTGAGCGAGCGGCAGGGCTGCGATGATTTCCCCACTGCTGGATGGGTGGGTGGGGTCTCTATTCGTTGCGGTTGCCACCCGTCCCAGGTTTGTGTCCGGATCGTCTGTCTATTGGTGTTTGCGTGGGGGTTGTGTTGTGTGTGTGTGTATCTGTGTGTGTGCGTGCGTGAGTGTGTGTGGCGGAGCCAGGAGATGGAATCTTTACCCTCGGGGCTCCTCCAGAAACAACGAAAAGCCACTACGTGTGGCCACGTGGAATGTTCGAACGCTCACTGCGGAGGAGAGGCTGCCACTCCTCTGTCAGGAGCTGGACCGGTACCGCCTGGATCTCTGTGGCATTCAGGAGGTCCGGTGGACCGGTTCTGGCTCCTGCCACCATGAGGGGTGGACAGTCCTCTACTCGGGGCAGCAGACTGCCAAACAACAGGGAGTGGCTCTTCTTCTGAACAAAAGAATGAAGGGGGCGTGGAAGCGTGGCGGTGAGGTGTGGGAAGCTGTAAGCCCCAGGCTACTTTGGGCTCGCCATCCCATCAACCGGAGGCGAGGAGTGGTGGTCGTGGTTACTTATGCACCCACCGAAGACGAACATCCGTGGAGGGATGCAGGCAAGGCCGATGAGTCACATGCCTTCTATGACCTCCTGTCACAGGTACTGGCTAAAGTGGCCCCTCGGGATAGAGTAATCTTGTTGGGTGACTTCAATGCCCGAGTTGGTCATGATGCTGGCACCTGGTCTGGAGTGATTGGAAGGCATGGGCCAGATCAGCTCAATAATAACGGTAGGAGACTGCTAGATTTTTGTGCAGCCCATGGGCTTGTAATTAACATGCTGTTCCGGCATCGGCGCATCCACACAACATCATGGATGCATGCCGGGTCCAAGCAAGAACATCTGCTGGACTACATAGTGATGGACCAGCAGATGCGAGCCCATGTCCTTGACACCAGGACCTACCGTGGAGCTGATCTGCCCTCTGACCATCGACTTGTCATCTGTAAGATGCGCCTGCCATTCTTCCACTCCGGTGGTGGGTGTATACCAGGACCCCATTCCAACCTAAGGTGGCCTGGTCTCACCTAGCTGATGGAAGTTGCAAGCGATAATTTCATCATCGCTTGCGGCTGGGGTTGGCATCGTCCCCCACTGCTCCTGATGTCAAGGGAAAATGGGCGAGGTTTAGGACTGTGATTCATGCAGCTGCAATGGCTGCTTTGGGTAGGTAGTCCAGACCCCACCAGAGACCCTGGCTGACAGAGGAGGTGTTCAGGATGGTTGAGAAAAAGCGACAGGCCCACTCTCATCGGCTACAGCATCCCATGTCATTGAATGAGGAGGCTTACCGCAGCCTTCGCTGGGTGGTGGTCGCGGGTTGCTGAGGAGATGGAGTCTGGCTCAATGGCTCGCGATCATAAATCCCTATTTAAGTCCATCAAAAAAGTAACCTGCAGCACCACACCTATTACCATCATTAGGGGAAAGAACGGTGATCCAATCTCCGACCCCCAGGTACAGGTTTGCAGATTTGCTGAGCATTTCTGTGTGGTCCTGGAGAAGGAATCCCTCAGCCTGGAAAACATCATGGGACAAATTTTGGGATGACCCTGCTGAGACTGTGGTGCCTCAATTATTGGAGGAGGAAGTCACCCCCTTTGAGTGGCTGGCTGAGGTGCCATCCGTTGAGTAAGTACTGAAGGCGATCCAGAGTCTGAGTCCAGGAAAGGCTGAGGGAGGGTGGCGTTTGTGCGCAAACTGCCCTACATGACATCATAACAAGAGTCTGGGCCACTGGATGGGTTCCGCAAGATTGGAATGATGCCCTGGTGGTCCCCCTCTTTAAGAATGGGGACCGCACAGACTGTAACAACTACAGGGGCATCTCACTCCTCAGTGTACCGGGAAGGTTCCTGACAAGGATTATTCAACATCGCCTTGCCAGGCACGCTGAGGAGAGGCTTGCGGAGCCCCAATGCGGTTTCAGGAAAGGGCAGTCCTGCACAGATGCCATATTGTCTGTCTGTCTGCTACAGTAGAGGTGTAGGGAATTCCAACAAGACCTACATCTCTGCTTTATTGACCTGGTCAAGGCCTATGATACCATCAGTAGGCCTGGGCTCTGGGTTGTTCTTCGTGCTTTCGGAGTCCCTGACCCTCTGCTCACGCTCATTAAGGACCTTCATGATGGTGAGCGGGCCCGGGTAATACTATGTGGCCTGGAGTCAGAGCCATTCCATGTACACCTTGGGGTGCGACAGGGATTTCCTCTGGCTCCAACATTATTTAACATCTATTTCGACCACACAGTTCGTGAAGCCTTCAGCAGCTGTACTGGAGGAATTTCCATCTGGTACAGATACAATGGGAGGCTGATCGATGCCTGGGTGCGGTCAAGGGATGGCTCCCTATTGGTCAACCACGTTATGTATGCCGACGACCTGGTAATTGCAGCTCACTCAGAGGAGGAGTTGGAGACGCTGCTGCTGAAACTGGAGTGTGCCACTAAGATGTGGGGACTTACCATCAGCCCCACCAAAACAAAGCACCTGCCTGGGTATTTTGCACCATCAGGCACTCCACCCCCACAACTCCCAATTGGTGATAGGGCAGTTGTGGAGAGAGTGGAGAGTTTCCCATACCTGGGCAGTGTGCTCATGACCGGCTCTGGTTTGGCAGCGGAGGTCTCACTCCGAATCAGTCGAGCGGCAATATATTTTTATCGGTTGCGTAACGCTGTGTGGAAGCTGCCTGGTCTGTTGCTCCGCACGAAACTTCAGGTCTTCTCGGCCACGGTCATTCCCTCCTTTCCCTACGCTTGCGAAACGTGGACCCCCCCTAATGGAACATCTTCGCCGGTTAGAAACATTTAGGCTGGCCTGCATACGATCCATCCTGGGTTTAACCAGGCTGGATTGTGTGAGGAGCTCACAAATCCTTGAAAGATCTGGGCAAAGTCCCATCGGTGAGGTCCTCCGGCCGGCATGGCTGCGTTGGCTGGGTCATGTAGCCCGCATGCCTAGCCACCGCATGCCTAAAGAGCTTTTGTTGCGCTGGATCGAGGGGGCTAAGCGGGCACGGCACAGACTAGAGAGGAGATGGAGTGATGTGGTACAGGAGGACATGGAGCTGAGTGGACTTGCCGATGACCGGTACCAGCGGTGTCAAGATCGGCCTCTATGCAGGAGGCTCGTGAAGGACGCTACTGGGCAGTTGGAGGTAGTCGCCCTCCAACAACAACGGAGGGCGGAGGAGCGACGATCACAAAAACGAGCGGAGCGCCGGGTGGCTGAAGCACAGCAGGTTGACACAGTAGGGGGCACAGGTGGTGCATCAGCCAGTCATCTCAGTCAGTCGACCCGTGGCACCTGGGTCTGCCCCGTGACCTCCTGCCCGCGGGCGTTCGACACTTCACGTGGCCTCAAGGTGCACATGGCCTGGCACAAGCGTCATGGTGACGTCACCGCCACTTAGTGGCGAATGGCGGTTGTTGTTGTGTGTGTCTGTATGTGTGTCTCTGTGTCTGTGTGTGTGTCTATGTGTGTGTCTGTGTGTCTGTGTGAGTGGGGAGCGGTAGTGTCGTGTTTAGCGCTACGCTGCGCTACGAACCCGGCTACCCGAGTTCGATTCCCGCTCACGGCCAACACCGGTGACGATTGTCTGAACCAGTCCTGGGCCTCCCCTAGGTCGACTCAGCCTCAAATGAGTTACCCGGTGTAGCGGTGGTGCAGTAAGCATCGCCACTGGGGGAGACAAAGGCGGCCGGGTTGTGGCGTTGGCCACCCGCCACCTCTTTGTACTCTACCGGCCGTCATAGGTGACAGCACTTGCCCCTGACAGTCTATTAAGAGGCTATCCGGGGGATCTTTACCTTTGTTGTAATTGGCAGGAATCGATTTGTCCCGATGTCTGTGGTAATAGTCATTCATTTCCTTACTACTGCTACAACTACTGCTGCTGTTACTGCTACTGCTGCTACTGTTGTTGCTGCTACTTCTACTGCTGTTACTACTACTACTGCTGCTACTACTACTGCTGCTATTACTGCTACTGCAGTTACTACTGCTACTGCTGTTACTACTACTACTGCTGCTACTACTGCTACTGCAGTTACTACTGCTACTGCTGTTACTACTACTGCTGCTGCTACTACTGCTGCTACTACTGCTGCTACTACTACTACTGCTGCTACTACTACTGCTGCTACTACTGCTACTGCAGTTACTACTGCTACTGCTGTTACTACTACCGCTGCTACTACTGCCGCTGCTACTACTGCTGCTACTACTGCTGCTACTACTGCTACTGCAGTTACTACTGCTACTGCTGTTACTACTACCGCTGCTACTACTGCTACTACTGCTGCTACTTCTACTGCTGTTACGACTACTGTTACTGCTACTACTACTGCTGCTACTACTGCTACTACTACTGCTGCTGCTACTACTACTGCTGCTGTTACTGCTACTGCTGTTACTACTACTACTGCTGTTACTACTACTGCTGCTACTACTGCTACTACTGCTGCTGCTACTACTACTGCTGTTACTACTACTATTGCTGCAACTACTGCTGCTGTTACTGCTGCTACTGTTGCTGCTACTACTACTGCTGCTACTACTGCTACTACTGCTGCTGCTGCTACTTCTACTGCTGTTACTACTACTGCTGTTACTACTACTACTGCTATTACTATTACTGCTACTACTGCTGCTACTACTGCTACTACTGCTGCAACTACTACTACTGCTGTTACTACTACTGCTGCTACTACTACTGCTACTACTGCTGCTACTACTACGGCTGCTAATACTACTGCTGCTACTACTACTGCTGCAACTACTACTACTGCTGCTACTACTACTGCTGCTACTGCTACTACTGCTGCTACTGCTGCTACTACTACTACTGCTGTTACTACTACTGCTGCTACTACTACTGCTGCTACTACTACTGCTGCTAATACTACTGCTGCTACTGCTGCTACTGCTGCAACTACTACTACTGCTGCAACTACTACTGCTGCTAATACTAATACTGCTGCTACTACTGCTGCTGCTACTGTTGCTGATAATACTGCTGGCAGGAAGATACCGGGGGGAACCCCAGCGCAGGACTAGAGGGGTGAGAGAGACCAAGATCCCCCGTGTAGCCTCTACAGACTGCTGGGGCAAGTGCTGTTAGTAGCGAGTAGCAGCACCTATGAAGGTAGACACAGACAAAGATCCCCCGTGTGGCCTCAACAGACTGCTGGGGCAAGTGCTGTTAGTAGCGAGTAGCAGCACCTATGAAGGTAGACACAGACAAAGATCCCCCGTGTAGCCTCAACAGACTGTAGGGGCAAGTGCTGTTAGTAGTGAGCAGCAGCAGCTATGAAGGTAGACACAGACAAAGATCCCCCGTGTGGCCTCAACAGACTGCTGGGGCAAGTGCTGTTAGTAGCGAGTAGCAGCAGCACCTATGAAGGTAGACACAGACAAAGGTCCCCCGTATAGCCTCTACAGACTGTAGGGGCAAGTGCTGTTAGTAGCGAGTAGCAGCAGCACCTATGAAGGTACACACAAAGATCCCCCGTGTAACCTCTACAGGCTGTAGGGGCAAGTGCTGTTAGTAGCGAGTAGCAGCAGCACCTATGAAGGTAGACACAGACAAAGGTCCCCCGTGTAGCCTCAACAGACTGCTGGGGCAAGTGCTGTTAGCAGCGAGCAGCGCCTATGAAGGCTACCGGCGCTGTGGCACACGCGAGGGGGTTGGGGGGGGCCAGCAACCACGCCCGACCGCCTTTGTCTCCCCCAGTGGCGACGTTTTACTACCTGGTAAAATTACAAGCAAGCAAGCACGCGAGCAAGTTGCGTGTCTTGTCAGCTTCCCGTGTCTCATCGAGCACCCCGTGTCCCGTCAGGGAGCCTGTGGTGAATCCGTAACCCGCCGAGACTTCTGCCCGAGAGAGTTCGTGCGGCCCGAGATGGCCTACAGGCCCCGGGCCACCTACCATCCTCCTGCAGGGCCCTTCCAGGTACTCCGGAGGGGGGGGGGGGGTGGGAGTGTGATCCCTCCACCATCATTACCATCACCACCGCCATCATTACCATCATCATCATCATCACCACCATCGTCATCATGATCACAGTCACCATCATCATCACCATCACTAACACCATCACCACCATCATCATCATGATCACAGCCACCATCATCACCACCACCACCATCATCACCACCATCACCATCACCACCATCATCACCACCACCATCATCATCATGATCACAGCCACCATCATTACCATCACCACCGTCATCATTACCATCATCATCATGATCACAGTCACCATCATCATCACCATCATTACCATCATTACCATCATCACCACCATCACCACCACCATCATCATCATCATGATCACAGCCACCATCATTACCATCATCACCATCACCATCATCACTATCATCATTATCACCAACATCACCACAATTATCACCACCACCATCATCACCACCATCATCACCACCACCAGCATCACCACCATCACTACCACCATAACCACCATCATCATGATGATCACAGCCACCATCATCATCATCACCACCATCGTCATCATGATCACAGTCACCATCATCATCATCACCACCACCATCACCACCATCATCATCATGATCACAGCCACCATCATCATCATCACCACCATCATCACCACCATCACCACCATCACCACCGCCATCATTACCATCATCATCATCACCATCATCATCATAACTATGATCATTATCACCAACATCACCACCATTATCACCATCATCACCACCACCATCACCACCGTGATCATTGTCATCAACGTCATCACGGTCACCACCAACATCATTACCATCATCACAGGCACCATCATGATCATCACCACCATCATTACCATCATCATCATTACCATCATCATCACAGCCACCTTCATGGTCATCATCACCATCATTACCATCATCACCACCATCATCATCATGATCACAGCCACCATCATCATCATCACCACCATCACCACCGTCATCATTGGCATCATCGTCGTCATCACCGTCATCACCAACATCATTACCATCATCATCACATCCACCTTCATGATCATCACCACCATCATTACCATCATCATCACCACCATCATCATAATCACAACCACCATTATCACGAATATCACAACCATTATCACCATCATCACCACTATCATCATCACCACCACCATCACTACTATCATTACTATCACCATAATAATCACCACCACGATCAACACCATTATCCCCACTATCATCCTCACCACCACCGTCACCACCACTATCATCACCACCACCACCACCAGTGTAGTGTAGAGTGTAGGGTATAGTAGTGTAGTGTATAGTTTAGTGTATAGTGTAGTGTATAGTAGTGTATAGTGTAGTATATAGTAGTGTAGTGTATAGTATAGTGTAGTGTGCAGTGTATAGCAGTGTAGTGTATAGTGTAGTGTATAGTAGTATAGTGTAGTGTGTAGTGTAGTGTATAGTAGTGTAGTGTATAGTAGTGTAGTGTATAGTCTTGTAGTGTATAGTGTAGTGTATAGTCTAGTGTATAGTAGTGGAGTGTATAGTGTAGTGTATAGTGTAGTGTATAGTAGTGTAGTGTATAGTGTAGTGTATAGTAGTATAGTGTATAGTGTAGTGCATAGTGTATAGAATAGTGTTTAGTAGTGTAATGTATAGTAGTGTATAGTGTAGTGTATAGTAAAAAGTGTAGTGTATAGTAGTGTAGTGTATAGTGTAGTGTATAGTATATAGTGTAGTGTATAGTGTAGTGTATAGTGTAGTGTATAGTACTGTAGTGTATAGTGTAGTGTGTAGTGTATAGTGTAGTGTATAGTGGAGTGTATAGTGGAGTGTATAGTGGAGTGTATAGTGTAGTGTATAGTGTAGTAGTGTACAGTGCATTGTATAGTGTAGTGTATAGTGTAGTGTATAGTGTAGAATACTAGTGTATAGTGTATAATGTAGTGTATAGTGTAGTGTACAGTGTGGGAGGGGCAGCTGGAGGCCTTTAGAGCTCTGCTCGGTCGCTGGTCCAGGCGACCAATCACAAGAGGCCGTCGAGGTCAAATCGCTCGACCTCTACCCCCCCCCCCCCGCCCCCACCACCGACCGTCCTACACAGGGCATCACGCTGTATCGTGACGACTTCCGCGGCTGGCCGCTGGCCGAGCACACCCAGGGCTCGTGGGCCGCGGGGTCCACGTGGAGGCCGCCGGGCCGGCGGGCCTGGTCGGCACCGGAGGAGGGCTCTAGGGACGCGTGGAGGGCGGGACCCCACGGACATGTCGGTGAGGCACCTCCCTGTACACACAGCCCCCACCCCCGCCTCACAGCACGCTTCCCCATACACCCCCCCCCCGATCCATAGACTCGATATGCAGAGACACGTAGATTCGCATGGAGACACAGAGACTCACACAGAGACACACAGACTCACACAGAGACACATAGACTTAATACACAGAGATCCATAGACTCACACAGAGACCCATAGACTCACACAGAGACCCATAGACTCACACAGAGACCCACAGACTCACACAGAGACCCACAGACTCACAGAGACCCACAGACTCACAGAGACCCACACACTCAGACAGAGACCCACAGACTCACACAGAGACCCACACACTCACACAGAGACCCACAGACTCGCACAGAGACCTACAGACTCGCACAGAGATCCATAGACTCACACAGAGACCCATAGACTCGCACAGAGACCCACACACTCAGACAGAGATCCAAAGACTCACACAGAGACCCATAGACTCACACAGAGACCCATAGACTCACACAGAGACCCATAGACTTAATACACAGAGACCCACACACTCACACAGAGACCCACAGACTCACACAGAGACCCACAGACTCACACAGAGACCCACAGACTCACACAGAGACCCACAGACTAACACAGAGACCCACAGACTCACACAGAGACCCACAGACTCACAGAGACCCACAGACTCACAGAGACCCACACACTCAGACAGAGACCCATAGACTCGCACAGAGACCCATAGACTCAATACACAGAGACCCATAGACTCAATACACAGAGGCCCATAGACTCGCACAGAGACCCATAGACTCAATACACAGAGACCCATAGACTCACACAGAGACCCACAGACTCACACAGACCCACACACTCACACAGAGACCCACAGACTCGCACAGAGATCCATAGACTCACACATAGACCTATAGCATCACACAGAGACCCATAGACTCGCACAGAGACCCATAGACTCAATACACAGAGACCCATAGACTCAATACACAGAGACCCATAGACTCACACAGAGACCCACAAACTCACAGAGACCCACACACTCACACAGAGACCCACAGACTCACACAGAGACCCACACACTCACACAGAGACCCACAGACTCGCACAGAGACCTACAGACTTGCACAGAGATCCATAGACTCACACAGAGACCCATAGACTCGCACAGAGACCCACACACTCAGACAGAGATCCAAAGACTCACACAGAGACCCATAGACTCACACAGAGACCCATAGACTCACACAGAGACCCACAGACTCGCACAGAGACCCATAGACTTAATACACAGAGACCCACACACTCACACAGAGACCCACAGACTCACACAGAGACCCACAGATTCACACAGAGACCCACAGACTCACACAGAGACCCACAGACTAACACAGAGACCCACAGACTCACACAGAGACCCACAGACTCACACAGAGACCCACAGACTCACACAGAGACTCACACAGAGACCCACAGACTCACACAGAGACCCACAGACTCACACAGAGACCCACAGACTCACACAGAGACCCACCCTCTACCACTGTGTGACCGCTAACCCCCCCTGTGACCCCCCCTGCCCGCCCCGTGACCCCCCCGGCCCTCCCCCCCATGACCCCCCCCCGCCCCCCCCCCCGTAGGGTCCCAGTGGCGGGAGCCGGCGGGGTTGTCAACTGTGCAGCTGCGAGGTGCGGAGGTGGAGAGGGGGCGTGAGCGGGCGCGGAGACACAGAGACCAGGCCAACGCCTACATCAGGGATCACCACCGGGGGTGGGCACGGTGGGGGGGAGGGGGCACGGTGGGGGGGGGCACGGTGGGGGGGGGGGCACTTGGGGCACGTGGGGGTCCACACAGGAAGCGGGCATGCGGGTGGTGGTGGTGGTGGTGGTGTTGGTGGTGGTGGTGGTGTTGATGATGGTGGTGTTGATGGTGATGTTGGTGGTGGTGGTGGTGGTGATGTTGTTGTGGGTGGTGGTGGTGGTGGTGTTGATGTTGGTGGTGGTAGTGGTATTGATGGTGGTGTTGGCAGTGGTGTTGATGTTGGTGGTGGTGGTGGTGTTGATGGTGGTGGTGGTGTGGGTGGTGGTGTTGGTGTTGGTGGTGGTAGTGGTGGTGGTGGTGTTGGTGGTGGTGGTGTTGGTGGTGGTGGTAGTGGTGGTGGTGGTGGTGGTGTTGGTGGTGTTGGTGGTGGTGGTAGTGGTGGTGGTGGTGTTGGTGGTGGTAGTGGTGGTGTTGGTGGTGGTGATGGTGATGTTGATGGTGGTGGTGGTGGTGGTGTTGGTGGTGGTGTTGGTGGTGGTGTTGGTGGTGGTAGTGGTGGTGTTGGTGGTGGTGTTGATGGTGGTGGTGGTGTTGGCGGTGGTGTTGATGATGATGTTGGTGGTGGTGGTGTTGATGGTGATGTTGGTGGTGGTGGTAGTGGTATTGATGGTGGTGTTGGCAGTGGTGTTGGTGGTGTTGTTGGCGGTGGTGTTGATGGTGGTGTTGTGGGTGGTGGTGGTGGTGGTGGTGGTAGTGGTATTGATGGTGGTGTTGGCAGTGGTGTTGATGGTGATGTTGGTGGTGGTGATGGTGGTGGTGGTGTTGGCAGTGGTGTTGATGGTGATGTTGGTGGTGGTGGTGGTGTTGATGGTGGTGGTGGTAGTGGTATTGATGGTGGTGTTGGCAGTGGTGTTGTATGGTGATGTTGGTCGTGGTGGTGGTGTTGATGGTGGCGTTGGCAGTGGTGTTGATGGTGATGTTGGTGGTGGTGTTGATGGCACCAAATCTCCGTGTTAAACTAACCAAGCTCTTCTTTGGTGCTGGACGGCAACGCTGTGGTGAGCGGTGCTGTGGTGGAAGGGCCAATTCCGATTGGCCATTCCCCTCATGGCGTTTGTAGCCACCACAGCGGCCACATTGGGGCTCTGGATGGGTGCGAGGGGCTGGTCACCCCTCCACCTTCAAATAATTACCACGATACCACGGAAAAATATCAAACGAAGCTTGTGCCGGAGGCCCCGGGGGCAGAGGCATCTATGACGTCTCCTGGCCAAACCCCAATTGGTGGAGCCAGAAGACTGAATTTTTACCCTCGGGGCTCCTCCATAAGCAGCAAAAAACCACTACGGGTGGCCACGTGGAATGTTTGAACGCTCACTGCAGAGGAGAGGCTGCCATTTCTCCATCAGAAGCTGGACCGGTACCGTCTGGATCGCTGTGGTATTCAGGAGGTCCGGTGTACCGGCTCTGGCTCCTGCCACCATGAGGGGTGGACAGTCCTCTACTCGGGGCAGGAGACTGCCAAACAACAGGGAGTGGCTCTTCTTCTGCACAAAATAATGAAGGGGTGTGGGAGCGTGGCGGTGAGATGTGGGAAGCTGTAAGCCCCAGGTTACTTAGGGCTCGCCTGTCCATCAACCATAGATGAGGAGTGGTGGTCGTGGTTACCTATGCCCCCACCGAAGATGAACATCAGTGGAGGGATTCAGGTGTGGCCGATGAGTCAGATGCCTTCTATGACCTCCTGTCATAGGTGCTGGCTAAAATGGCCCTTCGGTATAGAGTCATCTTCTTGGGTGACTTCAATGCCGAGTTGGTCATGATGCTGGCACCTGGTCTGGAGTGATTGGAAGGCATGGGCCAGATCAGCTCAATAATAACGGTAGGAGACTGTTAGATTTTTGTGCAACCCATGGGCTTGTAATTATCAACACGCTGCTCCGGCAACAGCGCATCCACACAACATCATGGATGCATGCCGGGTCCAAGCAAGAACATCTGCTGGACTACATAGTGATGGAACAGCGGATGCGGGCCCATGTCATTTGCACCAGGGCCTACCTTGGAGCTGATCTTCCCACTGACCATCGACTCCAGCAATAATGAAGGGCGGAGGAGCGACGCTAACAACAACGAGCGGAGTGCCGGGTGGCTAAAGCACAGCAAGTTGGCACAGTAGGGAGCACAGGTGGTGCATCAGCCAGTCATCTCAGTCAGTCGACCCGTGGCACCTGGGTCTGCCCCGTGACTTCCTGCCACGGGTGATCGACACTTCACGTGGCCTCAAGGTGCACATGGCCTGGCACAAGCGCCGTGGTGACGTCACCGCCACTTAGTGGCGAATGGCGGTTGTTGGTGTTGATTGTGGCTTTGATAGTGGTGGTGTTGATGGTGGTGTTGGTGGTGGTGTTGTTGATGGTGGTGGTATTGATGGTGGTGTTGATAGTGGTGTTGATTGTGGTGTTGGTGGTGGTATTGTTGATGGTGGTGGTGTTGATGGTGGTGGTGTTGATAGTGGTGGTGTTGATAGTGGTGGTGTTGATGGTGGTGTTGGTGGTGTTGTTGACGGTGGTGGTGTTGATGGTGGTGGTGTTGATGGTGGTGGTGTTGTTGATGGTGGTGGTGTTGATGGTGTTGGTGGTGTTGATAGTGGTGGTGGTGTTAATAGTGGTGGTGTTGATGGTGATGTTGATGGTTGTGTTGGTGGTGTTGTTGATGGTGGTGGTATTGATGATGGTGGTGTTGGTGGTGGTGTTGATGGTGGTGTTGATGGTGGTGGTGTTGATGGTGGTGTTGGTGGTGTTGTTGACGGTGGTGGTGTTGATAGTGGTGGTGTTGATGGTGGTGTTGGTGGTGTTGATGGTGGTGGTGGTGGTCTTGATGATGGTCGTGTTGATGGTGTTGGTAGCGGCGGTGTTGATGGTGGTGTTCGTGGTGGTGTTGTTGATGGTGGTGGTATTGATGGTGGTGTTGATAATGGTGTTGGTGGTGGTGTTGTTGATGGTGGTGGTGTTGATGGTGGTGGTGTTGATAGTGGTGGTGTTGATGGTGGTGACGGTGGTGTTGTTGACGGTGGTGGTGTTGATGGTGGTGGTGGTGGTGGTGTTGTTGATGGTGGTGGTATTGATGGTGGTGTTGATAGTGGTGTTGGTGGTGGTATTGTTGATGGTGGTTGTGTTGATGGTGTTGATGGCGGTGGTGGTGTTGATGATGATGGTGGTGTTGATGGTGTTGGTATTGTTGATGGTGGTGTTGATAGTGGTGGTGTTGATAGTGGTGGTGTTGATGGTGGTGTTGGTGGTGTTGTTGACGGTGGTGGTGTTGATGGTGGTGGTGGTGTTGTTGATGGTGTTGATCGTGGTGGTGTTGATAGCGGTGTTGGTGGTGGTATTGTTGATGGTGGTGGTGTTGATGGTGGTGGTGTTGATGGTGGTGTTGATGACGATGGTGGTGTTGATGGTGTTGGTAGCGGCGGTGTTGACGGTGGTGGTGGTGTTGACGATGGTGGTGTTGATGGTGTTGGTAGCGGCGGTGTAGACGGTGGTGGTGGTTTTGTTGACGGTGGTGGTGTTGATGGTGGTGGTGTTGATGACAATGGTGGTGTTGATAGTGATGGTGTTGATGGTGTTGGTAGCGGCGGTGTTGACGGTGGTGGTGTTGACGATGGTGGTGTTGATGGTGGTGGTGTTGATGGTGGTGGTGTTGATGACGGTGGTGTTGGTGGTGGTGTTGATGATGATGGTGTTCATGGTGGTGTTGTTGATGATGGTGGTATTGATGGTGGTGTTGATAGTGGTGTTGGTGGTGGTGGTGTTGATGGTGGTGGTGTTGATGGTGGTGGTGTTGACGATGGTGGTGTTGATGGTGGTGTTGATAGTGGTGTTGATAGTGGTATTGTTGATGGTGGTGGTGTTGATGGTGTTAGTAGCGGCGGTGTTGACGGTGGTGGTGGTGTTGTTGACGGTGGTGGTGTTGATGGTGGTGGTGTTGATGACGATGGTGGTGTTGATAGTGATGGTGTTGATAGTGGTGGTGTTGATGTTGTTAATAGCGGCGGTGTTGACGGTGGTGGTGTTGACGATGGTGGTGTTGATGGTGGTGGTGTTGATGGTGGTGTTGTTGATGGTGGTGTTGATGACGGTGGTGGTATTGATGGTGGTGTTGATGGTGGTGTTGGTGGGGGTGTTGATGATGATGGTGTTGATGGTGGTGTTGTTGATGGTGGTGGTGTTGATGGTGATGGTGGTGTTGACGATGGTGGTGTTGACGGTGGTGGTGGTGGTGGTGGTATTGTTGATGTTGGTGTTGATGGTGTTGGTAGCGGCGGTGTTGACGGTGGCGTTGCAACATCTTGCTGTCGCCGTTGCTGTCGCCGTTGTTGTGATGCTGGCGGCATCGTTGTCATTGCTGACGTCCCATCAGACCCCCGCCCGCTCCGCTCCACCAACACCACCACCACCAGCAGCAGCAGCAGCACGGCCGCTCCTCCTCCTCCTCCTTCGCGGTGGCCCCCCGCGCCTCCTCCTACGAGACGAGCTACAGCGCCATGACCTCCCCGGGCTCGTGCCCCCCACTCCGAGGCCTCCCCAGCCCCGACGCAGCGGGGGGGGGCCCACGGTGGACGCCCCCCCGCGGAACCCAGCCCGCTCGGGCGGCCCCCCAGGAACAACACTTTGGATATCGCAAGCAGGACATCCAGGCCGCGGAGGTGTGGGGGTGGAGGGGGGGTGGAGGAGGGGGGGCCCACGCACTCCTCCACCTCGTCGTCATCTTCGTCATTGTCGTCATCGTCGTCGTCAACATTGTCGTCATTGTTATCATCATCGTCATCGTTGTCGTCATTGTTATCGTCATTGTTATCGTCATTGTTATCGTCATAGTCGTCGTCATCATTGTCGTCATCGTTGTCGTCATTGTTATCATCATCGTCATAGTCGTCGTCATCATTGTCGTCATCGTTGTCGTCATTGTTGCCGTCGTCTTCGTCGTCATCAACGTCATTGTCGTCGTCGTCATTGTCGTCATCGTCGTCATCATCGTCGTCATCGCCATTGTCACTATTGTCATTGACGTCGTCATCATCGCCACTGACCTCGTCGTCAACGTCATTGTCGTCGTCGTCATCATCGTTGTCATCATCATCATCACCATCGTCGTCATCGTCGTTGTCATCGTCGTTGTCATCGTCGTTGTCATCGTCGTCATCATTATCGTCATCATCATTGTCGTCATCTTCACAATCGTCCTCATCGTCATCATTATTACCATTGTTATCATTGTCATCATTGTCATCGTCGTCGTCATTACAATCGCCATCATCATCATCATCATCGTTGTCATCATCTGCAGCATCGTCGACAGCAGCAGCATCAGCATTATCATCATCGTCGTTGTTGTCAACAGCGTCATCATAATCATCATTATCAGCAGCAACATCATGATCATCAGTTTCAGTTTTCAGTTTCATTTATTTTGGTGTAGCCCTGTGAGCCATTCGGCTCTTGAATTGGGTGCAACCGCAACAAACAAAAAACACAAAAACACGAACAATAAAAACATCTTAGAATGATTATGTGACTGCGCAAACAGAAAATCCATGAAAAAACTGCAAAGTCTTCCAGAAAAAGCACCGTACACCAACGCTGTGTGCAAAAATCCCAATGGGATGCAAGACAAACAACAACAACAACAACCACAAAACAACTTAGATTAAAGCCATCAGTCTAACTCCGTACTGCAACAAACAAAGATGGCCAAACCAATAAACATTTTCGGAATCGCCAAAATAAAGACATAAGCAATGTAGCAGTGATCATAGGAACTGTGACCGAAATTTCACAATCAACGACATAAATAACATGTACCACCAAACCCTGTACCCATAGCTGGCTGCATGAGTCACTCCACAACAGCAGGGGCATCAGTCGAAGTACCAAAAATGTTCAATGCACCTTTAAAGATGAGCACACTAAATCAAAACACAAGATCATACTTTGCAGTGGTCATCCGGAACGAAAACATTTTATTTTAGGCCACTGAATAGCAGTGGCAGCTAGGGGTGTACAACTCCTCTAGAGCAGTTTTGAGTGAAGATCTCATAGATAGTGATTCAAGTTGCAGTTTATTGGCAATAGCATTCCAGACCCTGGGGGCATCAATAGCAAAGGCCCTTCCTCCAGTATTTGTACGGCAATAGGGAATGTGAAGCTGGTAAATGAGCGATGACCTTAGGTTACATTTGTTCTTCGAATCGGAGAGGAGATCCAGCAGGTAGTCTGCGGAGTTTTTTTGTAAGTACATCGTGAATAAATAAGATCTGGTGCACAAGCCGTCGAACATTAAGAGATGTTAAGTTTGACCCAATGTAGAAATCACAGTGGTGAGTCCTATATGGGCAGTTCAATGCAAATCTTAAGGCCGAGTAATAAATTGAGTCAAGCTTCTTCAGTACAGTACTGGGGGCTGATTTATACACGATGTCACAGTAATCAAGTAGAGGCAGTATGGTAGCTTTTATCAATTCCAAACGGAACATAGGGGGGACGCAGTGCTTGTGTCGATACAGAAAACCAATTTTTTTATTTTTGTCTTTTTTCCAATATAATCAATGTGATCTTCAAAATTCAGTTTTGAATCTAGGATGACCCCAAGATACTTATAGATCATCAGCATAATGATGATCATCATTGACATCGTCGTCATCATCGTCATCATTAGCATCACTGAATATTTTCCACCGAACCTCTGCTCCCCCTTCCCCCACTACTAGGGCAAGCAGCTACCCATCAGCCCCACGGGCAGGAAGTTGCGGCAGGAAACGGCGAGCCACCACCAACAGCACCAACAACAGCAGCAAACGCCGCAACAAAAGAAACGGCCGCCCGCCAAACCGGCCGCCACCCGCCCCCTGACGATTGGCGCGGCCAGCACCGGGCCCCCGTTACCGCGGACCCCCACCGAGGGCCGATGGCGGACGCCGGCGGCCACCGCCGGAGCGGGAGGCAGCCCCGGCCCGGTCGGGCGGGGAGGCCGGAGGGGCGGCCGGGAAGGGGCGGCGGCGACGCGTGGCAGCCAGGAGACTCCCCCGGGCGATGCGGCGGTGGAAGGGCAGCGGCAGCAGGGGAGGGCGAGGGGTCAGGCCAGGGGTCGCAGGGGCACGCTGGGGGGCGCCGCCAAGGAGACGAGGTGGGGCGGTAGCCACGAGGTCAAGGGCGGCGGGGCGAAGGAACCCAGAGGGGGCGGAGCCGCGGAGGTCAAAGGCGGCGGCGCGAAGGAACCCAGAGGGGGCGGAGCCACGGAGGTCAAAGGCGGCAGGGCGAAGGAACCCAGAGGGGGCGGAGCCGCGGAGGTCAAAGGCGGCGGCGCGAAGGAACCCAGAGGGGGCGGAGCCGCGGAGGTCAAAGGCGGCGGCGCGAAGGAACCCAGAGGGGGCGGAGCCGCGGAGGTCAGAGGCGGCGGAGCGAAGGAACCCAGAGGGGGCGGAGCCGCGGAGGTCAAAGGCGGCGGGGCGACGGAACCCAGAGGGGTCGGCGGTCGGGACGCAGGGAGGGTCAGGGGTAAGGGCGTCGCTGCGCCGGGATCGGGCGGGGAAGCGGGCGACGGGGCAAGGGTGGCGAAGGGGGGCGTAGAGAGCGACGGGGCGAGGGACAGCGGCGCCCAGGCCGTCGCGGCGAAGCAGCGGCGGGAGGGGGACGCGGCCCCGCGGGTCGGCAAGGGGGCCGCCGAGACGAATAATAAACTGGCGGAGGCCAAGGAGTGAGAGCGGGCGTCGCTGGTTCTGGGTGGGGGGTGGGGAGGAGGCAGCTAGGCCAGTGTGAGTCTTGCGGTGATGGTGCCGGTGGCGGTGGTGGTGGTGGGGAGCGGTGGCGCAGCGGTCAGCGACCCTATGAAAACCCGGCGGCCCGAGAGTTCGATTCCCGCTCACGGTGACGATTGTCTGAACCGGTTCTGGGCCTCCCCTAGGTCGACTCGACCTCAAATGAGTACCCGGTTGCGGTGTGTAGTAAGCATCGCCACTGGGGAGACAAAGGCGGCCGGGCGTGGTTCTGGCTACCCACCCCCTCGTGTGCTGTGCCGGCCTTAATAGGCGCTGCTCGCTAACAGCACTTGCCCCAACATTCTGATGAGGCCATACAGGGTATCTTGGGTGTCGCTGACCACCATCATGTCCACCAGCTGATCACCATCATGGTCTCCGCCAGGTTACCAGCTGATCACCATCATGGTCTCCGCCAGGTTACCAGCTGACCACCATCATGGCCACCAGCTGATCACCATCATGGTCTCCGCCAGGTTACCAGCTGACCACCATCATGGCCACCAGCTGATCACCATCATGGTCTCCGCCAGGTTACCAGCTGATCACCATCATGGTCTCCACCATGTTACCAGATGACCACCATCATGGTCACCAGCTGATGACCATCATGGCCACCAAATCACCACCATTACGGCCTCCGCTAAAGCCAACGGCTGATCACCACCATAGCCACCAGCTGTTCACTATCATGGCCAAAACTGACCTCCGTCAAGGCCACTGGCTGACCACTAATCTGACCACCATCTGGCCAACGTGGTTAGGGTCAGGAGTCGAAGTAAAGTCTGTTGGGGCCGTCTTAGAGGTGGGGCAAGCGCTGGAGCTGGTTGGTTGGGGGTCGTCGGGGCTTCGTGCGAGTGTTGGGGCTGGCACTAAATGTTTGGATGAGGGCCTTGTCTCCGATTGGCCAGTGCAAGGCATGGGTCGAACTCGTGCTGTGTTCTGGTTGGCCTACGTTATTGGCGGCCGGTGTGCTCGGTTTCTGATTGGTTGTTGTGCTTATAAAAGGTAGTGACAGTTCCTCGTGTCTGATTGGCCAGTGTAAGGCGCGGGTAAAACTCGTGCTGTGTTCTGATTGGCCTACGTTGTTGCCGGCCAGTGTGCTGGTTTCTGATTGGCCGTTACGCTTATAATGTTAGTGACAGTTCCTCGTGTCTAATTGGGCAGTGCAAGGCACGGGTAGAACTCGTACTGTGTTCTGATTGGCCTATGTTGTTGGCGGCCGATGTGCTCGGTTTCTGATTGGCCTTCGCGCTTATAATGCTAGTGACAGTTCCTTGTGTCCGATTGGGCAGTGTAAGGCACGGGTAGAACTCGTACTGTGTTCTGATTGGCCTACGTTGTTGGCGGCCGGTGTGCTCGGTTTCTGATTGGCCTTCGCGCTTATAATGCTAGTGACAGTTCCTTGTGTCCGATTGGGCAGTGTAAGGCACGGGTAGAACTCGTACTGTGTTCTGATTGGCCTACGTCGTTGCCGGCCAGTGTGCTGGTTTCTGATTGGCCGTTACGCTTATAATGCTAGTGACAGTTCCTTGTATCCGATTGGGCAGTGTAAGGCACGGGCGGAACTCGTACTGTGTTCTGATTGGCCTACGTTGTTGGCGGCCGGTGTGCTCGATTTCTGATTGGCCGTCGCGCTTACAATGCCAGTAACAGTTGCCCGTGTCCGATTGGCCAGTTCTAAGGCTCTACCGAGCCACAAATTCCAAAAATGGATTATTTTTTTCCTCCGTTTTCCCGAAAGCACATGCGCGCGCGCAACGGTTACCGCGATGGAGTTCCGTAGGCCGCACGAGCGTTGTTTGTTTGTTGTTGTCGTCGTTGCTTTGTTAACGTTGATGCTGCCCACGGTAGGCCGGAGCGATGAAAATCTGAACATTCATTCGTACTGGCGGAATCCGATGAGCTGCACAACGCTCTATTTCGCAGACGCTTAAACATCGGTGGTTTCTCGACCTGGGCGGGGGGGGAGGGGGGTACGGTACGTGGCTGGCCCCTGGGGGTTACGTACGGTTTAAGTCAGGGGTGGGCACATTTTTTGACTCGCGGGCCTGAATGGGTTCTAAAGTTTGACAGAGGGGCCGGGCCAGGAAGCAGATGGACGGAGCATTCGCGTGAACTTAATATAAATGACGTGTTAAAAATCATTACGTGAAAGGATTTGGCCTTCGACAGGTAGCAAAGCGCTTACTTGCGAGGCAATTTAACAAAATTGCACGAACGTGAGCGATACAAAAACATTTCTAGATTGGCAGCTTTCGTGACTGCAAGGATCCATACTCTTTGGTTCTATTCGGTAAAAGTCACGTAGTAGGTAAAAAATAAAATGACAAAAATCACTCCAGCGCTGTCCTCGAGACAGTCTGGTCCCTTCACCTGATGAAGGCCGCTTGTGTTGTGGCCGAAACGTCGTGATTTTTGTTGTTTTATTTTATTACCTACTACGTGACTTTACCCAATAGAACCAAAGAGTATGAATACAGAAACGTGTTGTAACTCCCGGTCAAAGTGCGCCATCTAATGGGGAAATGGGGGCATTACAGGAGAAAGGTAAAATTTAATTTAATAACATTAATAATCTTCTTTGGTTCTTTCGGTAAAGTCACCACCACGTAGAATGAGAATAAAATAATAAATTGATAAAATAAAATAACACAATGAAATTCTCACGACGTTTCGGCCACAACACAAGCGGCCTTCATCAGGTGAAGGGACGAGACTGTCTGGAGGACAGCGCTGGAGCGAACACAGCCAAAATCAGACCGCGACCTTTAAGCTGTGTGAGAAGAAACAAAGCGCCTTGACAAAGGAATTAGCATAGAATTTAGCATTGAAATAGCTTAAAGGTCGCAATCTGAGCGTGGCTGTGTTCGTTCCAGCGCTGTCCTCCAGACAGTCTCGTCCCTTCACCTGATGAAGGCCGCTTGTGTCGTGGCCGAAACGTCGTGGGAATTTTACTGCGTTATTTTATTTTATCAATTTATTATTATTTTATTCTCATTCTACGTGGTGGTGGTGACTTTACCGAAAGAACCAAAGAAGATGAATCCTTGCAGTCACGAAAGCTTTAAATCGAAACGATAATAATATTTGGACAAGTTCAGCGGGCCGGATTAAAAAAGCCCATTGGGGCCGTATTGCCCCACATCTGGTTTAAGCGATCAATGAAATGCGCGGGTTGATGCCGCCGTACACGAGAGTCGTTTTGGGCGACGAATCGCGTCGCGTGAGAGCTGCCGATGACGACACAAATTTCAAATCCACGCGGTCACCCAGAACGATGGGTGGAAAAACAAAAAAACCTTTCCGGACTTCGCCGATCGTAAGCGATGTGAGCTTCCAGGTGTAACCGGCGGGCGCGAACAAATGACATCAGCCCATGAGACAGGGTTTCTGTTTTTGGGTTCGATCGCGTAAATACAAGTGTCTCATCATTAGACCTCCTTTGACCGTACCAAAATGTAATAATAGGGGTTTTTCCCATTTTTTTCTGGCAGCAGAACTGAAATCATTTTTTTTACAAGGATTCATGTTTACTGCATTCACCACAATACCTGCAGTCGAAATGCAAATAAAAAAAAACAACACACTATGATAATACGATGATGCATTGTCCTTGAAACTGATTGGTCCACACCAAGGGACGGCTTTCTTTTGAGCATCGATCCAATTGGTGCTCGACCAGATGACGCCAAAAGGCGTCATTTCATTTGACGCAAGATGACGTCAAAAGATGCCAGATCACGCCAAAAGACGTCATCTTGTCGAGCACCAATTGGATCGAGGCTCAAAAGAAAGCCGTCCCTTGGTGTGGACCAATCAGTTTCAAGGACAATGCATCATATGTTATCATAGTATGTTTTTTTTATTTGCATTTTGACTGCAGGTATTGTGGTTAATGCAGTAAACATGAATCCTCGTAAAAAGGTTTCAGTTTTGTTGCCAGAAAAAAGGGTAAAAACCCTATTATTGCAAATGTGTCGTGAAACCCCCCACCACCCGACACAGCCAATTAGTAAGAGGGTTTGTCACGTAAACAGAACGTGGCCACTTCGTTACTAGTACATCACTAGTATATAGTGTAGTAGTTTATAGTGTAGTGTATAGTGTATACTAGTGTATAGTGTAATGTATAGTGTAGTATATAGTGTAGTTTATAGTGTCGTGTATAGTGTAGTATATAGTGTAGCATATAGTATAGTGTAGTGTACTAGTGTATAGTGTAGTATACGAGTGTAAAGTGTAGTGTGTAGTGTAGTGTATAGTGTAGTCTATAGTGTAGTATATAGTGTAGTGTATAGTGTGGTGTATAGTGTAGTATACTAGTACAGCACGAGTGTATAGTGTAGTGTATAGTGTAGTATACTAGTACAGCACTAGTGTATAGTGTAGTATATAGTGTAGTCTATAGTAGTGTGTAGTGTATAGTGTAGTGTGTAGTGTATAGTGTAGTGTATCGTGTAGTATACTAGTGTAGTGTGTAGTGTTTAGTAGTGTGTAGTGTATAGTAGTGTGTAGTGTATAGTGTAGTGTGTAGTGTATAGTGTAGTGTAGTGTATAGTGTAGTCTATAGTGTAGTATACTAGTGTATAGTGTAGTCTATAGTAGTGTAAAGTGTAGTGTATAGTGTAGTGTATAGTAGTGTATGATGTAGTGCAAAGTGTAGTGTATAGTGTAGTGTATAGTAGTGTATAGTGTAGTGTACTAGTACATCCCTAACCGGCTGCGTGTTGGAGAGCAAATCCACAAGACTTACAATCTGAGTACGACGTTTTGCCAGTAATTACAACCAGCAACATCAGGCGGTAAATGTTGTGGATTTGTTCTTCAAAACACAAGCGGTTAGTGCTGTACTTGTATACTACACTATACACTACACTATACACTAGTGCTGTATTAGTATACTACACTACACTATACACTAGTGCTGTACTAGTATACTATACTATACACTGCATTATACACTACACTATACACTAGTGCTGTACTAGTCTACACTATACACTACACTATACACTAGTGTTGTCCTAGTATACTACACTATACACTGCATTATACACTAGTGCTGTACTAGTCTACACTATACACTACAATATACACTAGTGTTGTACTAGTACACTACATTATACACTACACTACACACTAGTGCTGTCGTAGTATACTACACTATACACTACACTATACACTATACTATACACTACACTATACACTGCACTATACACTGCGACTATACACTACACTACACGATACACTATAATATACACTAGTGCTGTATTAGTATGCTACACTATACACTACACTATACACTATACTATACACTACACTATACACTACACGATACACTATAATACATACTACACTATACACTAGTACACTACACTACACACTACACTATACACTCGTGCTGTACCAGTAACGAATTGCCCACGTTCTGTTTACGTGACAAACCCTCTTACTAATTGACTGTGTCGGGTGGTGGGGGGTTTCCTGACACATTTGTATTTAGGCGATTTCACCCAACAAACCTCTGTTATGTATGATATTGCTTGCAGAAGCCTACTAGGTGTTAAATAAATTACATGAGGCATGCAGTGGCAGTAGAATTGTGTTTTTTTTTTATCTGCTTGCAGTTACGAAGCTGAATGTGTGTACGTTGAACTTATTTCGCACCGTACTTAGCCAACGGTGCAAATCGGAAATGCGGAGGACGGACGACAGACGATGGGGCTCTATGCGAGTCTGTGGGTCTCTGTGTGAGTCTGTGGGTCTCTGTGTGGGTCTGTGGGTCTCTGTGTGAGTCTGTGGGTCTCTGTGTGTGAGTCTGTGGGTCTCTGTGTGGGTCTGTGGGTCTCTGTGTGGTGAGTCTGTGGGTCTCTGTGAGTCTGTGGGTCTCTGTGTGTGAGTCTGTGGGTCTCTGTGTGGGTCTGTGGGTCTCTGTGTGAGTCTATGGGTCTCTGTGTGAGTCTGTGGGTGTCTGTGTGAGTCTGTGGGTCTATGTGTGGGTCTGTGGGTCTCTGTGTGAGTCTGTGGGTCTCTGTGTGAGTCTACGGGTCTCTGTGTGAGTCTATGGGTCTCTGTGTGTGAGTCTGTGGGTCTCTGTGTGAGTCTGTGGGTCTTTGTGTGAGACTACGGGTCTCTGTGTGAGTCTGTGGGTCTCTGTGCGAGTCTGTGGGTGTCTGTGTGAGTCTGTGGGTCTCTGTGTGAGTCTATGGGTCTTTGTGTGAGTCTGTGGGTGTCTGTGTGAGTCTGTGGGTCTCTGTGTGGGTCTGTGGGTCTCTGTGTGAGTCTGTGGGTCTCTGTGTGAGTCTACGGGTCTCTGTGTGAGTCTATGGGTCTCTGTGTGAGTCTGTGGGTCTCTGTGTGAGTCTGTGGGTCTTTGTGTGAGACTACGGGTCTCTGTGTGAGTCTGTGGGTCTCTATGCGAGTCTGTGGGTGTCTGTGTGAGTCTTTGGGTCTCTGTGTGAGTCTACGGGTCTCTGTGTGAGTCTATGGGTCTCTGTGTGAGTCTGTGGGTCTCTGTGTGAGTCTGTGGGTGTCTGTGTGAGTCTGTGGGTCTCTGTGTGG